TAGTGACAGTATACCGATACCCTGTTCTATGACGCTTGACTTAGTTTACATTGCCTTGACTAGTGGTTGAAAAGAACTGTGTTAATAGAATCCATAGTGACTAGTATGCTAACAATAATATATCCTGTTAATGCTGACTAATATTCAATATTATATCCTGTTAATGGTGAAAAATTTTAGCATATGAGCGGAAAAAGGGAGAGGCGAAGCAGTTGTAGGCGTTGTCACCAGTGGAAAATGCACTAATGGAAGTAATGCTAAAGGTTAAGGAAAGAAATGAGGAATTTCCTGCAACTTTTGCCCTTAAATTACAGGCAGAACCTACTTTCATAATAGTTTTTTTCCCACTGGTGATGCCCCCTGCAACTGCTTTGCATCACCAGTCTGCGTACTAAGCCCATTCTATGCACATATGCCGAACTTTTATCAAGATTGATGAACTGAAAAACATCTCCAGGTGAGGGACTGATTGCTTCCCAAATCCTTGTCTTCCACTGTTCTTTCCTATACTGTGTGATGAAGTCACTGGCGAGCAAAACGTTTCTCCACAACAAAGATACCCAAGTCTTGCACAGATATCTCATTCATCAACTTGTCAGTTTCTGAATGATTTATAACACACACACACACCACACAACACACAATTTCATAACAACACATACACAAAACAAAACACACACACACAAAACACACACCACCACACAACATACACACACATAACACACACATACACACACATACACACACACATATATATTATATATCAGGACTAATGTCGGCCTACGGTTTCCCTTAAAACCGTCATAAATGTTACCGTGCTTCACTCCAACAGCACGTCAAGTCCTAAAAACCATTTGTCTCCATTCACTCTATAACCCCCGCTGGAAGTCCCAAACCACTCGCTCAGTTCAAGCCAACATAAGGGGCAGTTTCAAGCCCAAAATAAGGGGCGGTTCAAGCCAACATATGGGGCAGTTCAAGCCAACATAAGGGGGAGTTCAAGCCAACATAAGGGGCGTTCAAGCCAACATAAGGGGCAGTTTTAAGCCAACATAAGGGGCAGTTCAAACCAAAATAAGGGGCAGTTCAAGCCAACATAAGGGGTAGTTCAAGCCAACATAAGGGGGAGTTCAAGCCAACCCTAAGGGGCAGTTCAAGCCAACATAAGGGGCAGTTCAAGCCAAAATAAGGGGCAGTTCAAGCCAACATAAGGGGCAGTTCAAGCCAACATAAGGGGCAGTTCAAGCCAACATAAGGGGCAGTTCAAGCCAACATAAGGGGCAGTTCAAGCCAACATAAGGGGCAGTTCAAGCCAACATAAGGGGCAGTTCAAGCCAACATAAGGGGCAGTTCCCAATAACATATGGGGCAGTTCACGACACCATACGGGGCAATTAAAGACAACACAAGAGTAGCTCATGGCAACATGAGGGGCAGTTCAAGACAATACATGGAGCAGTTTACGTTTAAATAATGTACAATTCAAGACAACATAAGAGGTAACCCAAAACAAAGAGAAATTACAAAGCAATATTAAGATCTGCTCAAGATAACATTTTAGGAATTCTTAGATAATAATGGGCAATTCAAGATAACAATAATGGGAACTTCAATATAACATAAGGGGAACTTCAATATAACATAAGGGGAACTTCAATATAACATAAGGGGAACTTCAATATAACATAAGGGGAACTTCAATATAACATAAGGGGAACTTCAATATAACATAAGGGGAACTTCAATATAACATAAGGGGAACTTCAATATAACATAAGGGGATCTTCAATATAACATAAGGGGAACTTCAAGATAATTAGGGGAACATCAAAATAACATATAAGGAACTTCTAGGTAATATAATGGGAACTTCAAGATAACAATTTGGAGAACTTCAAGATATCATAATAGGAACTTCAAGATAACATAAAGGGAACTTCAAAATAACATAAGAGGAACTTCAGAAAACATTAGGGGAACTTCAAGATAACATTAGGGGAACTTCAAGATAACATTAGGGGAACTTCAAAGTAACATAGGGAAAACTTCAAGATAACAGTTAGGGAAACTTTAAGTGGAATTCCGAGATAACATAAGACAGTTCATAACAACATACGACTCAGGCAAGACAACATACGACTCAGGCAAGACAACATACGACTCAGGCAAGACAACATACGACTCAGGCAAGACAACATACGACTCAGGCAAGACAACATACGACTCAGGCAAGACAACATACGACTCAGGCAAGACAACATACGACTCAGGCAAGACAACATACGACTCAGGCAAGACAACATACGACTCAGGCAAGACAACATACCAGGCATTTAGTGATAAGACAACGAGCAGAACATGACAGTATAAGTTACAACTCAAAGCCTCGTAGAAGTTTAAGTTGTCTTGAGCTTCCCCTTAAGTTGTCTTGAGCTGCCCCTTAAGGGGCAGCTCAAGACAATTTAAGGGGAAGCTCAAGACAAAAATAAGTCGAAGTTCAAGACAAAAATGAGTGGAAGTTCAAGACAAAAATAAGGGGAAGTTCAAGACAAAAATATGACGAAGTTTGAGACAAAAATAAGTGGAAGTTCAAAACAAAAATACGTAACATGAAGTTCCAGATAAGGTCAGGACCCAATCATAATGACTTGAGCGGCACTTGATGAAAAAATAAGAGGCAGTTGTAGACAACACTGAGGACAGTTGTAGACAACACTGAGGACAGTTGTAGACAACACTGAGGACACTTGTAGACAACACTGAGGACAGTTGTAGACAACACTGAGGACAGTTGTAGACAACACTGAGGACACTTGTAGACAACACTGAGGACAGTTGTAGACAACACTGAGGACAGTTGTAGACAACACTGAGGACAGTTGTAGACAACACTGAGGACAGTTGTAGACAACACTGAGGACAGTTGTAGACAACACTCAGGACAGTTGTAGACAACACTGAGGACAGTTGTAGACAACACTGGGGACAGTTGTAGACAACACTCAGGACAGTTGTAGACAACACTGAGGACACTTGTAGACAACACTGAGGACAGTTGTAGACAACACTCAGGACAGTTGTAGACAACACTGAGGACAGTTGTAGACAACACTGAGGACACTTGTAGACAACACTGAGGACACTTGTAGACAACACTGAGGACAGTTGTAGACAACACTGAGGACACTTGTAGACAACACTGAGGACAGTTGTAGACAACACTGAGGACAGTTGTAGACAAACACTGAGGACAGTTGTAGACAACACTGAGGACAGTTGTAGACAACACTCAGGACAGTTGTAGACAACACTGAGGACAGTTGTAGACAACACTGAGGACAGTTGTAAACAGCACTGAGGACAGTTGTAGACAACACTGAGGACAGTTGTAGACAACACTGAGGACAGTTGTAGACAACACTGAGGACAGTTGTAGACAACACTGAGGACAGTTATAGACAACACTGAGGACAGTTGTAGACAACACTGAGGACAGTTGTAAACAGCACTGAGGACAGTTGTAGACAACACTGAGGACAGTTGTAGACAACACTGAGGACAGTTGTAGACAACAATGAGGACAGTTGTAGACAAACACTGAGGACAGTTGTAGACAACACTGAGGACAGTTGTAGACAACACTGAGGACAGTTGTGGACAACACTGAGGACAGTTGTAGACAACACTGAGGACAGTTGTGGACAACACTGGGGACAGTTGTAGACAACACTGAGGACAGTTGTAGACAACACTGAGGACAGTTGTAGACAACACTGAGGACAGTTGTAGACAACATGAGGACAGTTGTAGATAACACTGAGGACAGTTGTAGACAACACTGAGGACAGTTGTAGACAACACTGAGGACAGTTGTAGACAACACTGAGGACAGTTGTAGACAACACTGAGGACAGTTGTAGACAACACTGAGGACAGTTGTAGACAACAATGAGGACAGTTGTAAACAGCACTGAGGACAGTTGTAGACAACACTGAGGACAGTTATAGACAACACTAAGGACAGTTGTAGACAACACTGAGGACAGTTGTAGACAACACTGAGGACAGTTGTAGACAACACTGAGGACAGTTGTAGACAACACTGAGGACAGTTGTAGACAACACTGAGGACAGTTGTAGACAACACTGAGGACAGTTGTAGACAACACTGAGGACAGTTGTGGACAACATTGAGGAGAGTTGTAGACAACACTGAGGACAGTTGTAGACAACACTGAGGACAGTTGTAGACAAAACTGAGGACAGTTGTGGACAACACTGAGGACAGTTGTGGACAACACTGAGGACAGTTGTAGACAACACTGAGGACAGTTGTAGACAACACTGAGGACAGTTGTAGACAACACTGAGGACAGTTCAAGACAACACTGAGGACAGTTGTAGACAACACTGAGGACAGTTGTAGACAACACTGAGAACAGTTGAAGACAACACTGAGGACAGTTGTAGACAACACTGAGGACAGTTGTAGACAACACTGAGGACAGTTGTAGACAACACTGAGGACAGTTGTAGACAACACTGAGGACAGTTGTAGACAACACTGAGGACAGTTGTAGACAAAACTGAGGACAGTTGTGGACAACACTGAGGACAGTTGTGGACAACACTGAGGACAGTTGTAGACAACACTGAGGGACAGTTGTAGACAACACTGAGGACAGTTGTAGACAACACTGAGGACAGTTCAAGACAACACTGAGGACAGTTGTAGACAACACTGAGGACAGTTCAAGACAACAATGAGGACAGTTCAAGACAACACTGAGGACAGTTCAAGACAACACTGAGGACAGTTCAAGACAACACTGAGGACAGTTCAAGACAACAATGAGGACAGTTCAAGACAACACTGAGGACAGTTCAAGACAACAATGAGGACAGTTCAAGACAACACTGAGGACAGTTCAAGACAACACTGAGGACAGTTCAAGACAACACAAGGGACAGGTAAAGACAACACAGCAGCAACAGAGTACCTGAGGTGTGGATCAGGGTGACCTGAGAGTGAAGTGTGAGGCACGACCCTGGGCACACCTGGGAGTGGTCAGCAGGGCCAGCTGCTCCGCCTCAGACACGTCTAAGATGTTCATCTTGAGAAGGAGGTCATCATCCCCAATCTCGTCCAGCCTCCACTCATGGCTGGCAGGTAGCAGTGCCCATGCCCATACCTCCGATACCACCTCCACCCTGCAAGGCACGCAACCCAACACATGAATAATAATAATAATAATAATAATAATAATAATAATAATTATTATTATTATTATTATATCTATCGGGAAGCAGTAAACCCATAGACTGCACACACACAGACAATATATATATATATATATATATATATATATATATTATATATTATATATATATATATATATATATATATATATATGTATATGTATATATATATATATATATATATATATATATATATATATATATATATATATATATATGTTGCAACCCGTGAATGGGTTACAATGATTATTATGTATATATGTAATGTATATTACCTTTTCATTTAATTTTATATTGCTTATATTTGCGATAATAGCTAAATCGCAAATGTATTGCCTTATATTGTTATTTGATGTAGCTTATGTTGTTAGGATGTATATAAAATGTGCTCAGTTAGTCTTGATTGTCAAACTACTGTAATTATCGCTTGTCGCTCGTTATACTGCCGGCTTCTGAGCTGCAGTTGTCCACGTAGCTATCACGTGATCGAGGGGGGGGTGTCCTCACCTCTCGTGAAGTAGTCAGTCTGCTCTAGACTCGCTTGCTGGTTGGACAGATTGTCTGTCTCATTATTCTTGTTAGTTCTGTAGAACTTTGTTCACAGAACATTGTAAAGACTTAGTGATTTTCGACGTTGTACTGAGGTTGTGTGTCACATAGACACTCTGAGTATCTCAGGTCCTTAGCTATAGCTTCTGACCTAATTTTGTACTGGTTTCTGTGCATTGTCACAGTCGGGTTTTCCTATGCTGAACGTAGATTCAGTATTATGGGAGTTTTGTAACTTTTGTGGAGGATCTGCTGATGGTCCCTACTTAGTGTCGTTATATTATTTCCCAGTTCCTGATTCTGTGTCGCAGTCGCTTGATATTGCATTGCTATTGGGCTTAGCTATTCTTTGTTGTTCAAGCAAACTGTTCGGGTTGCCAGTCGGTCAAGATGTTAGTTTATTTGAGGACTTTGTCAGTCACTTGTTTAAGTCTTATTCGAGTCTTGAGACATAGCTAACTACTTAAGAGCACTTACACGCATACACACACTTACTTGTACATATTTGTAATATATTATTAAATGTTAATGTACCAGACGGTACTTAAAAATTATAAATGTGATATGTGCTTTCAGCACAATAATATTGAACTCGAGAGATTGATTTTATCTTGACTGATGTGATTAATTTAATTTAATTTGATAATATACCTCTAGACTTAATAAATTTATTAAATTTTAATTTCTCTAGTTAGTAGCCTACCAGTTGTAATCCTAAAGCACTATTGAACCATACTGAATTTTAATGGATAATTGGACAAGGATACTGACTACTTGTTACGAAAACCCAGTAACAGGCTGGATGCTAGAAGGGCAGTCCTTTCTAGTATTCACTGGAGATCTCTAAACTTTTAGAATCGCGTTTTTTGTAACATATATATATATATATATATATATATATATATATATATATATATATATATATATATATATATATATATATATATATATATATATATATATAATATATATATATATATATATATGTGTGTGTGTGTGTGTGTGTGTGTGTGTGTGTGTGTGTGTGTACTCACCTAATTGTGGTTGCAGGGGTCGAGACTTGGCTCCTGGCCCCGCCTCTTCACTGATCGCGACTAGGTCCTCTCCCTCTCTGCTTCCTGAGCTTTGTCTTACCTCTTCTTAAAACTATGTATGGTTCCTGCCTCCACTACTTCACTTGCTAGGCTATTCCACTTCCTGACGACTCTATGACTGAAGAAATACTTCCTAACGTCCCTGTGACTCGTCTGAGTCTTCAGCTTCCAATTGTGACCCCTTGTTTCTGTGTCCCCTCTCTGGAACATCCTATCTCTGTCCACCTTGTCTATTCCCCGCAGTATCTTGTATGTCGTTATCATGTCTCCCCTGACCCTTCTGTCCTCCAGTGTCGTCAGTCCGATTTCCCTCAATCTTTCCTCGTACGACATTCCCCTGAGTTCTGGGACTAGCCTTGTTGCAAACCTTTGTACTTTCTCTAACTTCTTGACGTGCTTGACCAGGTGTGGGTGCCAGACTGGTGCTGCATACTCCAGTATGGGTCTAACATTCACAGTGTACAGTGTCTTGAACGATTCCTTATTAAGGAACGCTATTCTCAGGTTTGCCAGGCGCCCGTATGCTGCAGCAGTTATTTGCTTGATGTGTGCCTCCGGTGACGTGCTCGGTGTTATGGTCACCCCAAGGTCTTTCTCCCTGAGTGAGGTCTGTAGTCTTTGTCCACCTAGCCTATACTCTGTCTGCGGTCTTCTTTGCCCCTCCCCAATCTTCATGACTTTGCATTTGGCAGGGTTGAATTCGAGAAGCCAGTTTCTGGACCACATGTCCAGCCTGTCCAGGTCTCTTTGCAGTCCTGCCTCATCCTCATCCGATTTAATTCTTCTCATCAGCTTCACATCATCTGCGAATAGGGACACTTCAGTCTATTCCTTCCATCATGTCGTTCGCATATATCAAAAATAGCACTGGTTCTAGAACTGACCCCTGTGGGACCCCGCTCGTCACAGGCGCCCACTGTGATACCTCTTCACGTACCATGACTCGTTGTTGCCTCCCTGTCAGGTATTCCCTGATCCATTGCAGCGCCCTCCCTGTTATATGCGCCTGATCCTCCAGCTTCTGCACTAATCTCTTGTGGGGAACTGTGTCAAAGGCCTTCCTGCAGTCTAGGAAAACGCAATCAACCCACCCCTCTCTCTCGTGTCTTACTTCTGTTACCTTGTCATAAAACTCCAGAAGGTTTGTAACACAGGATTTGCCTTCCATGAACCCATGCTGGTTTTCATTTATAATCTTGTTCCGTTCCAGGTGTTCCACCACTCTCCTCCTGATAATCTTCTCCATGACTTTGCACACAATACATGTCAGAGACACAGGTCTGTAGTTTAGTGCCTCATTTCTGTTTCCTTTCTTAAATATGGGGACTACATTTGCTGTCTTCCATTTCTCAGGTAGTTGACCAGTTTCAAGGGATGTGTTGAAGATTGTGGTTAATGGCATGCACAGCATCTCTGCTCCTTCTCTAAGGACCCATGGGGAGATGTCCGGTCCCATCGCCTTTGAGGTATCAAGGTCACTTAGCAGCTTCTGCACCTCCTCCTCGGTTGTTCTTATGTCATCCAACACTTGTTGGTATATTTCCTCTTTATGTTCCCTTCTGTGCTGTCTTCTCAGAGCCCTTCCTCTCTCTACTGTAAAACTTCCTTGAATCTCCTGTTTAGCTCCTCACATACCTCCTGATCATTTCTTGCGAGTTCTCCACCTTCTGTCCTCAGTCTGATCACCTGGTCTTTGACTGTTGTCTTCCTCCTGATGTGGCTATACAACAGTCTCGGGTCAGTCTTGATTTTCGATGCTATGTTAATTTTCATACTGTCGCTGGGCCTCCCTCCTTACCTGTGCATACTCGTTCCTGGTCTGCGACTAATCTCCCTATTTTCATGTGTTCTCTACCTTCTGTACTTTTTCCATTTTCCCTTTTGAAACTTTGTTTTTTGCCTCCTTACACCGTGGGGTAAACCAGGGGCTCGTTCTGGTCTTCCCATTGTTTCTGTTCCCCTTTGGGGAAAAAAACTTTCCACTGCCTCCTTGCATTTTGTTGTTTATATTTTCCCATCTTTTCATTTACTGGCTTTCCTGCCAGTTCTCTGTCCCAGGGAAACCCCTCCTGCAGGAAGTTTCTCAACCCTATGTAGCCCCCCTCTTTCATAGTAAAGGCTTTTCCCATTCAACTCCTGTTACTCTCTCCACTTGCAACTCTATGTATTCAAAGCCAGAACCACGTGGTCACTAGCTCCTAGGGGACCTCATATGTGATGTCCTCAATGTCTAAAACTGCCCAGGGTGAGCACAAGGTCCAATCTTGCTGGTTCATCCCCCCCTCTCACTCTGGAAAGTGTCCTTAACATGTTGGTGCATGAGGTTTTCCAGCACCACATCCAGCATCTTGGCTCTCCATGTTTCGGGACCCTCATGTGACTCCAGGTTTTCCCAGTCAATCTCCCTGTGGTTGAAATCCCCCATAAGCAGCAACTTTCCTCTGCTGGAGTGAGCTCTTCTTGCCACCTCAGCAAGTGTGTCCACCATTGCTCTGTTGCTCTCTTCATATTCCTCTCTTGGCCTCCTGCAGTTCTGTGGTGGATTATACATCACTGCAATGACCACCTTGTGCTCCCCAGACTGTGTGTGTGTGTGTGTGTGTGTGTGTGTGTGTGTGTGTGTGTGTGTGTGTGTGTGTCTGTCTGTCTGTCTTTCCGAATAGGTAAAACTTGCGATTTTGGCTTAAAGAGCAATGCTGTTCTTGCCGAATGAGGCATGCGAAAATTTGTGTATGCAATAATTTCACAAAAAAATCATTCTGAACCTAACGAAAAAAATATATTTCATTGGGTTTGTTTATTATTAAATTGTTGTAAAGTTATCTAAAATATATTTAGTTGGATTAGGCTAAATTAAATAGCGCTTGTTATAATAAGGTTAGGTAAGTTTTCTAAGATTCTTTTAGTATAAAATTATTAATTTTTACATTCACATAAATTAAAAAAATATATATCTTCAAACGTAGAAGAGAAAATTTCAGAAAGGATTTAATTTTAATTAATGAGTTCTTGCTAATTGGCCAGCTTTACATATTCGGCACGACACACACACTCAATGTATATATATAAAATATAATATATATATATATTTATATATATATAAATATAAAATAATATAATATATATATATAATATATATGCAAAACAACCACTATGAAAGAATAGAGAAATTCCAAGCGCTTTCGTGACTACTCACATTATCAAGGAACTATGAAAGTGAAGCATCCAAGGAAGCTATATAAGGGGTCCGACCAGCACCTCACTATCAGATCCCACAACGGTTAAACACGTGACGCGCGGCGAGCCAAC